GGAAGTGATGATTCGAAACGTGGGTCTTCATGGGTCACAGTGGGCTTGCATCCCTTTTTGAGTTGGCTTGGGCTTCTTAATGGCCCATTGACAAAGTGGGGATGGGCAGGAAGCTATTCTCTCCTTAATAAAACATGTTTCTTCCTTTTCACATCCAGAGAAATATTCTGCCTTTTCAATATTTCCTAGGATATTTCATTTTTCTGGGAGAGGGCTGGGTGATAACTTCCTACACTATAATGACTCATAATCTACACGCCAACTCAAAAAGGGATGCAAGCCCACTGTGACCCATGAAGACCCACGTTTCGAATCATCACTTCCACCCCTTTGCCCCAGACGAGGTGGAAGGCAGTCGCCACCTGGGAAACGCGTCTCCGCACCGCTGCTCAGTTTATCGCGCGCTTCTTACTTCAAACGGCGGCTCGGGGCATCATTCCGACGTTCCGGGTAACACGCAGAAGAGTCTGCGGCGAAGAAGCGATTCCAAGGACTCTCGCGCCCTCTGTCGGAGAGAAGGCGGCAACAGCGGCCATACTTCAGGGGGGGGCGGGGCGAACGTCCAACAAGTTGTGCCGGTGCAGGGAGATGACGTCGGGCGCGCGACTGACCCGGAAGCCAGGGCGGCCATAGCAGCAGGAGGCGCGGGCGGCCGTAAGTGTGCCGGGGCTGTGAAGTGCGGCAGTCCGTGTGGCTGTCTTTCTCTGCTAGGCCGGCGCCTCGCTTCCTCTCCTCCCTCTCGGCGGTGCACCCGGCGGGGGTTCCGCGTCGTCTTTCCGGCTGTAGGGAATCCCTGCGTTGCTATCTCTATCTCCCTCCCCAACCGGGTGCTTTCGCTAGGCCGCCTCCTCGCTTCTCTCTCCCCTTTAGGTGGCCCGGAGAGCGTCCCGTTTCTTTCATTGGGAAGAAATAAGAATGAGGATTGTTTTTATTTATTCTCTATTGAAAGCATTGGCCGCCCAACTTCAGTGAACTCCTGGGCAGTGCACAATACTAAAGGGTGGGGGGAGAGAGAGAGAGGAAACATTAATAATAACAATAATAACGTCCCAGTTTTTAGCTGCAAATTTTGTCCTCCGCTTAAGGCACAGCCAGGTCGTTTCATTTCCCCAATCTGGGCCTTCCAGGGGTCTTGCAAAAACGTCTTCCAGAAACTTCCAGGTAGCCCTTTTGGACTCCTAATGGAGAAGTCTGTTGCCTTTTTCTTTGGTGGAACAATTTCGACAGCGCTTTCCTGTATTGTTATGTGGCTCTTCTCTCGTTTACTTATCCACTGTTTTTTATATCCTGTTTGTTCTCTGAAGAGCTTGAAAGGTTAAGTGGGGAGGGGAGGTCTTTTTTTGGCGGGGGGATCTTCCCACAAACAACAATCCTGCCAGAGATTGGTTGGAATGAGAATGGCTGGATGAAAATAATTGCGAGCTCCATGGTTTCTTAAGTCTTGGTGCTAGCAGATGAATGCATCCAAAGGAACTCTCTTGTGCTTTTTTTAAAAAAATATGTTTTAAAACAGATACATTCCAATAAAATCTTGTCTTTCAAATCCGAAGAAAATGAGGGCTGGGAAAGGAGGCAGAGAAGCCCAAAAGGATGAAACAGTTGTCTTTCTGAAGCAGGGGTGTCCAATCTTAGCAACTTTAAGACATGCTGGCCAGGGAATACTGGGAGTTGAAGTCTACAAGTCTTTAAGTTGCCAAGGTTGGGCATTGCTGTTTTAAAGGAATAGGTAAGGTGGAAGAATAGAAATTCATTTACAGATAAAGGTGCCTGGTGAACTTTTAAAAAAATCATTAACAAGTTTGTCAGGAGACTAGGTTAATATGCCTGACTTCACTATGCCAGGACATGTTGAACAAGTTACAGTTGGTTCAGTTGATAAGTAATCAAGCTTAGTTCATGCATATAACCACCATTATTTAGCAGTTACAGTTCATTGTCAACAAATTTTAGCTTAATGACTTCGGCAACTTACCTCATTCTCTTCTATTAGAATTTTACTCATGGTGGGCACTGCATTTCTTTTTCAGCTGTAGTGAAAATTTAGAATTGGGTAATGGATATATCATTGCTATAGCTGCAGCTCACAGAAACTGATTGCTGAATGTGTGTTTCCTGCCTTTTGGATATGCCACAACTCATAGGTGTACTGACAGATTAACCTCTTTTTGTTTATCTAAAGAGGTGTTTGGCAAGCTGAGGGAAGCATAAGCTATAAGAATTGAAACGACGTGTTTAAATTCTTCCTGCTTGGTTTCCTTATCACTGGCAGTGGTTGAAAATTCAAAGAACTGGCAACTTGGGCACGTCTTTGAGCTAATTTTTTAAAAAAAAAAACAACATCACAAAGCAACTGTAGTATCTGTCAGAATTTGGGTCCTACTGATAGGAAAAATGCAGACATGGTCAACGGGAAAGTGCAAAATGAATCTTAGAACTGAACAGGACGATGGAGTAATTTAGTCCAATTCTCTGGTTCATCAGGATAAACCAGAAGTACTCTTGCCTGACTAGTGCTGCCCAGAAATTGGGAAATCTGGGAATTGCAAATCAATATATTTCATTAGAATCAAGTTGTTGAGGCTTGAGTATCAGTATCACTGGCATATAACAATTTCTGCTTTAATATCAAAAGGGAGAACCTATCACTTGCAGTAGTCTATTCCACAGTTGGAAATTTTTTACACTTACTTTAAAGACTTTAGCCAATTTCTTGTTTCCACATTGTGATTCTAGTCCTGCCTTTAGAGATACAGGAAACTGTTAATTTCTGCATGAAGAATATGCCAACAGCCACAGATTTCCTCAGAGTCCGTGCTGGAGAGGTTTATCAGTGGATTGCGTTTAATATTAATGCAAAGTGAACACATCTGTGGCACTATTTGAATGGTCAGCATCCGATCCTACATAGCAAAAGTTACAATCAGCAGCCCAGTTTTTACAGTTCTCTTCTGATCACATTTTTACTTCACATGAATGCTGTCGTTGACAAAACATTTAAGGAATTAAATTGATACTGTAGACATTTTCCCATAACCTGCCATTGGTAAAACTGGCAAATTAGGCAAATAATGCTCTCTATTGGAGAGAAGAGTAAAGTTGAGCTCCTTGGTGTTCACTGTCTAGTTTATGAGATTTCATTGGGCCCATGACCACTGAGTGTGTGAAATGGATTTCTGTTGCCAAGAGGACTGAACATTTGTCCCTGCCATCCTAAAAAGCAGCTGAGGTTTGTAGGATGTCAAGTACTTTAATCAAATTTAATAAGAAATATATAGGCTAACGTACTGTATCTTTTAGCAATGACATGAAACAGTCTGAATATTCTGTGGCAGTAGGGTTGGTCATCAAATGCTAAAGGTAAATACGTAACTGAATTTTCAGTTGTTCAGAGAACAGTCAGCTAGCTATTGATGGAAAAAGTATGCTGCACCTTGATCCAATCATGCAAGGAAATCCTTATCATGTGATCTAATCACGCAAGGTTAACTATAACTTTAGAGAGGACAGCTTGTCCCAGAGCAGAGAACCAGTGTCTTGCACAGATTCACACAAGTGCTTATCTTGCTCCTTTTTTTTTTGTTTAACTTTTCTCAGGTTACTTTCTCAGGGATGACTCAGTTAGGTGCCATTGCAGCTTTGGCTGCTAGCCTAGTGGCAGCTTCTCTTTTTTCTGCAATACACAAGATTGAAGAAGGGCACATTGGTGTTTACTACAGGTAAGGGCAGATACTTGGAAGGAACTGTGCTTTTTTTGTATTGTTGAATGCGTGCTAAGAAATGTAGTTTGCAAGATTGAATAAATGGCAAATGCAATTTTTTTCCCTTCACTTCAACCTGGTGCCATGCATAACTTTATTTAGGAGAGTGTTCTTTAAGTTGGATGCAATAGCTGTGAAAATCTGCTTCTCCTGGACCATTTGAGGACTGTGTGCAAATTGCATCTCATTTTGAATATGCTTACTGAGATTGCTTGTACATGTTTCAAAATAGTAGCTCCAGAGTGGTTAGCTTGGGATACTTGTGGTCTTTTGGCACTGGAGAACACCCCCTTCTTTTATACATAACTTGCGTATTTAGATTGAAAAGTTTGACTTTGAACCTGAGGTTGTTACAAGCTCAGGGTAATTGTATTTATGATGAGCTGTCTTCAGTTTATAGGATGCTATACAAATGTTGTAAATAAAGTTTTGATAAAAGGACATAGGCAAAATGTGACAGTGAAAACGCAAGCTTTGGATTTGTTAATGCAATACATAATCTGGAATTGGTTGGTGGGGATATCAAAAGGCTGAAATTGCTGATCAAAGAACCAGAGCAGTGGTGGTTTCCTTACCGGTTTGGACCGGTTCAGCTGAACCGGTAGTAGTTTGGTGACCTGGGTCGCTAGAACTGGCAGCGACTCAGGCCTGCCATGCCCCCGAACCGGTTCTCCAGGCAGCGCCATCTTGTTTTTCAATTCTGCGCATGCGCAGAACAATTTTAATTAAATTGCACGTGTGTGTGTGTGTCACAAGCGCCCACAGCGCGCCCATGAGCAAACCGGAAGTAGTACCTGCCGGAATCTACCCCTGAACCACAGCATTATCTGTTTAAATATATACCTTTCTCCCCTACAGAGGAGGAGCACTTCTGACATCTACAAGTGGACCTGGCTTCCATCTAATGCTCCCCTTCATAACTTCCTATAAATCAGTACAGGTATCTTGTCTTTATATATAATTGTCTTATGGGAGAGAAGCACAGAGATCTTTTACTAACTGTGCCAGGGTAGTTTTGAAGGCTACCTTAAAATAGACATTTCTTGATAGATTCTAATTCACAGTCTCAACAATATGATGTGTCATTTTAGTCCAATGTATAGTTTATATAGCTCAATAATTGTTGTATATTTTGTTGGGGATAAGCAAATCAACTCCTAATTGATTGGAAAATGTAAATACATGATTCGATATGTTGTTACTAAAGTATAGATATGTATCTAGAAGCCAGATTTACATTTATAACTCGTAAATGTCACACGGAAGATGCTCCTAAATGCATCTTGGGGTGATTTTGTTAATATGTAATTCTCCAATGTTCTTTGTGTATCTTGGGTGCAAGCCTGAGGAACTGTTTTGTCATAAGGTTCATTATGTAGCAACTGTTGTGAAATGAATAAAGAAAGAAGCTTGCCACACCCTATGGTTCAGAGTCCAGGTTTTCTGTTACAAGTTGTTTGGGTAAGGAACATAATGTGGGGAATGCTTGAGGAGGTTATAAATAGAATAAAAATGGAATGTGGCATGAAGAGGAATTGTGCCCATGCTTAAATTTGTAATTAACCTTTTATTCTTGGCTCTCAATTCCTCCATTCATGATAATCATATCTTAGTCTGAAACTATGACTGATCCTAGCTTGTCTCCAAAGAAGTATCAGAATACTTACAGTTTTGGTTTCCAGTTGTTTTCCACCACCAGGAATTCTAGTTTGCAGTAACCATCATTCATGTAGTGTAGCAAGTTATAAACTCCACATGCATTAATTAATCAAATTTATATAGCCATCCATCTTACAAGAGGTTAACTCTGGATGGTTTATAATTACATAATAATACATCATTCATATAAATCAGGCAAGACGTATAACAAGCTTGTGACACAAACATTATTTACATACTCCAATTTGTTTATTCTTACATCCAGTGGAAAAGCTGGTTTTATGTGTGGGAAACACTGTTATTTGGCACTAAGGTTTATTTATTTTTCTTTACTATTATCTATTTCCCAGGTTAACTTAGATCTTAACTGCCCCTTATTTATTGTCCCCTGATATGTACATTTTTTTCTGCTGTGTTTTATTAAGCCTTTTATAATTTTATAATCAGGCTGTGCAAAGTTCTTGCAAAGTTACTCTTAAAATTGCAGACCTGCAAACGAAGTTGTTCTTTGCACGTGCCACATTTTCCAACTCCTTCACATTCTTTAGTTTTGTCTGGTCTGAATGGACCCCAAACCTGTTTTCAAACAAGACCTTCCACTTTTTCACAATAGGGGTAAGAGATTTATCTTCAAGACCTGCTCTCAATCAGCACGTTGAATATATTTGTATTGTTCAGCAACTTTTGGAATGGCCAGTCTGTTTCTAGCTCGGATAAGTTGCAGAGAAGATGGGGCTAAGACAATCAGGTAGAGCTACTTTTAGACAGATGGGTCGCATTTACCTGAGTTGAGCCAAAGAGACTTGACCAGTGCTATGCAAGCCACTATGCAAAGATGCAAAAAGGACCACTTTTTATAGCCCTTGGAGCTCTGCGGTCCCCAAAATTAATTTTCTGTTCTCCTGGGACAAGAAACATCATTTGGCATCAGTAAATAATAAGTTGTAGCACAATAATTTAAAAATCCTCCTCCAAGTCAGGGAAAAAAGTAAAAAGATGAATCTCTTAATAGTTGTGACCTTCTTTATTACCTTGTTTTCTGCTGCTGTTTATCCCCCCCCCCTTCAAAAAAAAGATTATGTGAGTGTCAGCTGCCAAATTTTGCTTATCCCCATCCCAGAGGAAAGTGTTTTTTTTCTTATTGCAGAAGTGAAATTCAGCTTAAGGAAAGCAGTTCCTTAATAGTCCTCTTTATCTCTACTTTCCAGACCACCTTACAAACAGATGAAGTAAAGAATGTTCCATGTGGCACAAGGTAAGGTTGGACCCCCATCCGTGAATCTGCCATCTCTCAGCTTTTCTCTTCTCTAGATAGATAGATAGATAGATAGATAGATAGATAGATAGATAGATAGATNTAGATAGATAGATAGATAGATAGATAGATAGATAGATAGATAGATAGATAGATAGATAGATAGATAGATAGATAGATAGATGTCGGAAAATGTGGTGTGTTATTTTTGTTGATTTCAGATAAGATGACACAAATAGGAAATGGAATCATCTTGTATCTTATGATCCTGTATTTGGCTGTCCATGTAACTACCAGTTTGGTCTAGTGATCAAGGCTAGAAACCAGGAAATTGGGAGTTCTAGTACTGCCTTAGACATGAAAACCAGATGGGTGACTTTGGGCCAGTCAATCTCTCAGCCCAACTCACCTCACAAGGTGGTTGTTGTAGAGAAAGTAGGAGAAGGATTAGCTACTTTTGCTGTCTTGAGTTATTTATAAAAATGATAAAGGCAAGATTTTAAAAATTAATACCACAGCCTAAGAGTCTGTGTTTAAAGATGGCATAAAAATGCAAGTAGGATTGTCAGTCATGAAACCTGGAGTTAAGATATTTGGCGTTCAAAGCTGCAGTTACTTCACACACAAAAACCCCAAGTTATGTACGTAGTTTGACTAATTAATGTAATCATTTCTTGTATTTCTATTTTTGATAAGAGAAGAATATCAGTATCTCAGGATGAAATGAGGGGTCCTTGGTGCTCTCTGAGCTTGTTTTCTTGCAGATGTTTTGTTACCCAAATTAAGTAACACCATGAAGTGTCTGCAAGAAATCAACGAAGCTCAGAAAGCACCAATTTCTATTCCACTTTCACCCCTCATTTCTATATTTTCCCATTTATGGAGCCCATGTGGGATAATGCAAACTCTCCCCCTTTTCCAATCCTGATGTTGTATTTGAGGAGGATTGTCATCCAAACATCTTATTTTGATTCATTTTTTATTATTATTATTATAGTTTGTGGCACACTCAGCCATATGTTCAGACTGGGTTTTTCCATTTTTATCCACCTATCAAGTCCTTCCCCAGGACCTGAGTGGGGTAGGCAGATATTGATGTTTCATTGTGTTAGAGGTCTGGTCGCAGGATGTAAGCTGTTCCAAATAAAGCTGCCTTTTGCAATTGGCTGATGGTGAATTTGTCAGTTCCGGTGGTGTTCAAACGGTGTTCCCATTGTTTTGGAATTGCACCCAAGACAATATTACTACATTTGCTTCCTTCATTTTTCTCACTCAGATGGGACACCTGATTGCATTCTATCAATCCAAAGAATGTTCTTGCCTCTACCACTAGATGGCGATGTTTCCCTTTTACTTATCCACAGAGAAGCCTCTTGCAGTAGTCTTAAGAGCCGAGGTGGCGCAGTGGTTAGGGTGCAGTACTGCAGGCCACTTCAGCTGACAGTTATCTGCAGTTCAGCGGTTCTAATCCCACCGGCTCAAGGTTGACTCAGCCTTCCATCCTTCCGAGGTGGGTAAAATGAGGACCCAGATTGTTGGGGGCAATATACTGACTCTGTAAACCGCTTAGGGAGGGTTGAAAGCCCTATGAAGCGGTATATAACTGTTTAACTGTTTATTAAATTTATAGGCCACCCAATCCCGGAGGACTCTGGGCGGCTTACAGAAACAGAGATTAAAAGAAATTAAAAACAGATAAAACACAACAAATTTAAAAAGACACAACATGGACCCAATCTAAGCGGGCTGGACCTCAATCCAGAGGTCAACAGCCCCAGGCCTGCCGGAATAGCCAGGTCTTAATAGCTTTTCAGAAGGCCATGAGAGTGGGTAGGGTCCGGATCTCTGGGGGTAGCTCATTCCATAGGGCCGCAGCGGCAACAGAGAAGGCCTACTCCTAGGCGTCGCCAGCCGGTATTATCCCTCTGAAGGCATCCGGAGAAGGCCCATCCTGTGCGATCTTATTGGTCTAAGGGAGGTATGTGGCAGAAGACGNTGTTGGGGGCAATATGCTGACTCTGTAAACCGCTTAGAGAGGCCTGAAAGCCCTATGAAGCGGTATATAAGTCTAACTGCTATTGCTATTGCTATCTTATCTGGGAATTTCTTATGGGCGATTTCATAAATGATATATACGGAGCCCTTTGAAGGTTTTCTGAGCTGAGCCTGCAAATGTTACATTGCCCAACCAGCTAACATTATCCTAGTTGGCTTACAAAAATGTCTGCAATCAAACCACCATGCGAAGAGAGCACCAAGGATTCCGCAGTTCAACCCTGAGCTACATGTTTTCTCTTCTGTTGAAATCATGTATTCTGTCAGCGCCAACAGGCCTTGGCAAACATGAATGATTAGAGGTTTCTTTTCCTCTTACATTTGTAAAAAAATGAATAAAACCACCACCAACAAAAAAAAAACAGAGACAGAATAGATGTACGTACATGAAATAAACTTCCCTCAAGTGGAAAGGTTAAAATGAAAACATCATAGTTATAAAAACATGTTGTTGTTGTTCTTAACAAAAAGCAAAACAGACAAATAAAGACTTTAAAAAGCATTCTGGAAAACTCCCTTCCTTTTCTCTGTATCCCCCTTTCCCTCGCCTGCTGATTGCTACTTAAATATGTTTGTTCTGTACTTAACATCTGTGACTTCAGGTAGTTCTTATGACCGCAGCTGAGCCCCAAATGTCTGTTGCTAAGCGAGACAATTGTTAAGTGAGGCTTGCACCATTTTACAATCTTTCTTGCAGCTGTTGTCAAGAGGAACACTGCAGCTATTCCGTTAGTGTCGCGGTTGTTAGGTGAATCTGACTTCTCCATCGATTTTGCTTGCCAAAAGGTCGCAAAAGGTGACTCCAGGACACTGCGACGGTCATAAATACAAATCAGTTGCCCAAGAGTCTGAATTTTGGTCATGCAACTATAGGGATGCTGCAATGGCTGTAAGTGTGAAAAAGGGTCATAAGTCACTTTTTCTCAGTGCTGTTGTAACTTCAAACGGTCACTAAATGAACTGTTGTAAATCGAGGACTACCTGTACTGTGTATTTCTATTTGGATTTTTTTTATTTATTTGTTTTTAAACAGTTTCTTTCTGTCTCTGTCTCTCTGTGTCTCTCTGTCTCTATCATATTTCTCTCTCTGTCTCTCTATCATCTCTCTGTGTGTTCTGTCTGTCTGTCTGTGTCTCTGTCTCTTTGTCTCTCTCTCTCTCTCTCTCATATTTTTCTCTCTGTCTATCATCTCTCTGTGTGTTCTGTCTGTCTGTCTGTCTGTCTGTCTCTCTCATATTTCTCTCTCTGTCTCTCTATCATCTCTCTCTGTGTTCTGTCTGTCTGTGTCTCTGTCTGTCTCTCTGTCTCTCTGTCTCTTTGTCTCTCTGTCTCTGTCTCTCTCTCTCTCATATTTCTCTCTCTGTCTCTCTATCATCTCTCTCTGTGTTCTGTCTGTCTGTGTCTCTGTCTGTCTCTCTGTCTCTCTGTCTCTTTGTCTCTCTGTCTCTGTCTCTCTCTCTCTCATATTTCTCTCTCTGTCTCTCTATCATCTCTCTCTGTGTTCTATCTGTCTGTCTGTGTCTCTGTCTGTCTCTCTGTCTCTCTGTCTCTTTGTCTCTCTGTCTCTCTCTCTCATATTTCTCTCTCTGTCTCTCTATCATCTCTCTCTGTGTTCTATCTGTCTGTCTGTGTCTCTGTCTGTCTCTCTGTCTCTCTGTCTCTTTGTCTCTCTGTCTCTCTCTCTCATATTTCTCTCTCTGTCTCTCTATCATCTCTCTCTGT